TATCCCGACATAGGGGGGTCAATCCAGCCCCCCATTTCCAAACCACAGCGAACTTTCCCTTCCCAGATCTGGTTTTTTCCAAGTTCCTTTGTCAAATCTGAAGGATCAGACTCCTGTTGAAACTGTTCTGTCAAGCCACACTCCTGATTTAATGCCACAAACCCCTGTTCTGTCAAAACATACTCCTGGTTTGAGTCCTGGATAGACTCCACATATATTCCCACAGTCTGATCAAAACCTTCCACTGCCTGTCTAAGATTCCCAGTCGAGTTGGCCATCTGGTTCACCTTATCATATATTTCTTCCAGTAGAATATTTGTTTTATTAAGCAGGCACACCACAACTTCTGAAAACATTGTTGCGCTTTCCCACGGTTATTTGTAGCAACTGTCAAGTCCTTGGCATTAGTTACAGTTTCAAAGGCTCCCCCTAGGGAGAAGACTTATATTTGTTTTTGCTACATTTCCAAGATACTTGAAATACTTTATCCATATATATTCCTTTAAAATGCGAAAGGGAACAATAAAGTCACAAAGATTCACTTCTTTTAGCTATCTGTCACACACAGTTATCTTGATAAATTCACGTCAGTCCTGACTTCCCCGCTCCAGGATCAGGACGAAAATAACTTCCTTTTACTGCTTCAAGTAGTCCAAAAAAATATTCCCAATTTAAAATGTTGGAATCCACTCTTTTAAAAGCAATTTTCAAAGCTCTAGTGTAAATTGCCTTTGCTTTGTTCTATTTACAAAAGAACGGAAGGGTGACTTCCTGTTTAGCCCTTCCCGCTCCGTACCAAATTCAATAGATTGTTTCTTTCCTCTTTTATAGTCCAATTCTGTCCTTTTCCCAAATCTTCATTTACTGTCCCAATTTGTTCAAATTCTAAGTACTCACGGGTATTTGTTTTAAAGTCCGAATTGTCCAGGAAAAAAGGCAGCGCTCTCCGGCAACAGCTACGCGGCTTCACTCCACAAAAGAAGCAGACGACTCGCAGCACAGCGCCACTTCCCCGCTCTGTTCCGGAGCCCGTTGCCGGGTTCCTTTGCAGATTGGGGGGGCGCAAACAGTGCCCGCCGAGTCCCAGGGTCACAGGCTTCACCCGCCTGTGGTTTAAAGGGTCCCCGCTGCGCCGAAGCGGTGTTAGACCCGATTTCTGTGGAACAATTTCCCTCCGAGTTAGAGGGATTCCGCCATTGCCGTTGGCGCCACCTCCGGAAGTCCGGCTTTCTAGTCTTCTTATTTCCTTTCCTGTTTGAACTGTATACACTCAGTTTGTAGCACGTGGTTTGATCATTCTGATGCAGCCCTTCAAGTGTGTGATACAGGAATTTTAATGGCTCTTGAAGTCTCCTTTTGGCATAGCTATGGTTCCTTGTTTGTTACCATAGATACTGTACTTTTTGTTTGCATTACCTTACACCTAAGAGATTCCCACAGGTAGAATTATTTGATATAATTATTCACAAATACAAAAATTTATAAAACGAATCTGACATTTTATTTGTTTAAGATAGTTTCTGCCCTTTTTCCTTCTTGAACGGTGAATGCCAACTTCTGTCTTTTCTCCCTTTGTGTAACTGTTATTGATCTGCCTCTATAAATTTAAAATTGCTGAGAATTCTAGTTACATGTTTTGCTCATTGAAAAGGAAGAACTGGTTTATCTGAATCTCACCAACCATATGAAATAAATGGAACACAGTTCACTTCAAAACAAAGCTCTGGGAACACACAAGAACCCACCCTACAAAAGGCACAGGAAACACTTTTTAAAAAATTAAAAGGACTCTGTCAGAGGTGGCCAGTTCTGTTCTGCAATCCATCAGCTATGATATAGTATGGTGACCTACTTGCTTCTCCAGTCTTTATCATGTTTGCCCCCAAACCACACATGAGATGTAGGTCATCATTATATTATTCCTGTCTAGATGGAGAACTGAAGGTGAGGGAAAGCAACCAGCCCAGGGGCAAATAGTAAGTCTGTGGCAGGGAACCATTAGTTCTATGATGGTGCATCACTATAAATTCCCATCTAAAGACAGGGAAATGAGCCTGAGATAATTGCTACGGATAGCAGAGAAGCAGAAGAAAGGATTTAGAGATTGGGGAAGTAAAGGTGGGGCGGGGGGGGACGAGGGTTGCATGAGAGATGATGGATAAGCTAGAGTATATGGATACCTAATGGTTATTTCAATAGTAGTAATGAACAGCAAAGTACACAGTTTAAACTATTTTCCAAATTGAATAGGCTAATTCCTCAAAAAGCAATAGTTTCAGGCTTTTCATCTGCCAAAAAAATAGAGAAAGAAAACCCCTTTTGAATCTCTGAGTGTTTCCCCCTGATTCTCCTACATTAAAGAGTCTATTTCCATGTTACTGCAATTATACCTTCAAAGGAAACATACATCACACTTGTGGAAAGTACTCTACTAAGTGGGCCCCCTACTAAGGTGTGCTTTTCACCTGGACCAGAGACATGAAGGTATATCTGTAAAACGTCTTGAAAAGTTAGGAAGTCCGTAATGGCTTTGAACCAGTGCAGGTCCGTTACAGTAGCTCAGCTCCTGAGTCTTCTGTCTTTGAATGGAAGGTTCACAGAAGGAATCCCAATGTAACAAAAACTCCTGTGTGTTGTGTGTGTTGTTAGCCGAATTCCTCCTGCAGCCTCCCTGTACAACTTCCCATGTTGTTCTCCACAGCCCTCTAGATGGGATTTTGAGCAAGGGGTGGAGTGGGATAAATGAGCAGGGTGAAACCAGCAAATATCACCTCTCTCCCTTCTGCGAGGGGGAGTATCTCTTGAGGGTTCCTGCTCATGGGAAAGCTGGGAACCAAGTCTATACGACCAAACACTTTCTTCTTTCTTTAACTCTCTATGGGCTGTTTTACATGGTGACCTCCTGTCGGAAAAGAAGTCTCCAACTGACAGTAGCAGTTATCAGCTCTGGTGATGGGGTGGGGTGCAGCCAAAATGGAAGTCCCTGTTTTAGCCTGTTTCTCAGCAGCACTGCTACCCTTTTTCAACTACTGAGCTAGGACTGTCTTGTTTAGGTGAACAGCTGTAATTGGGGTGGGTGGGTTCGCTGCTTCCCCTTCAACAATACTTTCTCAGTCTTCCTCTTTGCAGCCTAAAGAAGACAGGTGCTGCCAGTGAGACCAAGTAGGCAACTGACTGCAGCAGCAGTGGCAATGACAGGGCTGAAACAGGGCTATCTAGTTGGCTGAATGATACAGCTTAGCAAAGGCTTATCTATAAACAGGGGTTGGATTGCAGGCTCCACAGTGAACTGGCCCTAGCCTCACAGTATATATTACTGCAAGAAAATGACAAAGAGGTCCAATGATGTCATGTGTGGGTTGAATAAGGACAATGTTTTAATGGTGATGATGATGATAATAAATCACACAGTAGGTATTAACTGGCTTACCAATAACAGGATGCCTATGATGTTGTTGTTGTTGCTGCTGTTTTAAGTAACAAATTTAATTTCAAACACATCATTCACCTCTTCATTAATCCTTTGACCTCCCTCTGCCCTTCCATGGTTACCATTATCAATCTCCTCCCCCCCACTGCTTATCTTATGTTCTCTAATTTGTTAAAAGAATAATAATCTATTTTTCCATAGTTTCTCGTACATTACAAGCAGTACTCTCATCCTGACAAAGTTTTTAGTTGTTTACAGTGTTCTCTTAAGGAATGGGGAAAAATTATAATGTAATCCAGGATGCCTATGTTAACAACTGTTTCATGAAGAAACACTTGGCATTATGCAATTGTAACTGTCTGTGTATTTTATACATTTCATTGGCTTCTGGCCTGTTTATGCACACACACACACACACAAATACTGCATGCATCTGACAAAGCCCACGAAGGCTTGTGCCATGATAAATTTGTTTAAGGTAACACAAGACTGCTACAGTCATACCTCGGGTTGAATGTGCTTCGGGATGAGTGCGTTTGAGTTGCGCTCTGCAGCAACCCGGAAGTAACGGAGCGCGTTACTTCCGGGCTTCACCGCTTACGCATGCGCAGACGCTCAAAATGACGTCACGCGCATGCGCAGAAGTGCCAAACCATGACCTGCGCACGCGCAGACGCATGGGCACGGGTTATGTTTGCTTCTAGATGCGAACGGGGCTCCGGAACGGATCCTGTTCGCATCTAGAGGTACCACTGTATTTGCTACAGCAGAGCGCTACCCCCTCTGAAAATTGTAAGAAAATGAATAATCTTGTTCTGTGTCCCTAGTTTGTTCAACAATATATGGCCATTCCCTTAACGCTCAGCAGTGATGCAACAGGCTCATTGACTCTCACTGTGCACTTCATGTACAAAAGCAATACCTACTGCTTTCTGCCATTACACACTATTGCTTGCATTATTTTACACAATATGTCACTTCAATGTGCATCTCTTGCATTCTTTGCTGAACAAATGTTCCCCTGGCTGTGATAGCAACTGTAGCTACTACACAGCATCTGCTCTTTTAACTATCTGTTACTCTCTGCCACTTATTGGAACATTTTCCATTCCTTTCTCTGTCTCTCTTTTTTTTCTTAGGTGACCCAGCAAATCACCCATGTCTCCTAAGCCGTATTTTTCTTCTTAATGAGCTCTGACTGACAATGCTATATGGACATCTTTCCATATCAGTATTTTTTACCCTGCCTGTGAATCTTATTGGCAGATTGTAACGACATTACTAGTTACAAACACACTGCTAATGGGTTCTTCCCACCGCCAGTGTCTACCAGTTCTGAATAGCCTGGGTTTGTTTTTTAATTGTGTAGAATCTTTTATCTTTCTTGAACAGCTTAAGGTGCAGGCTGAATTCTGTATTTTCAGAGGCCACTCAATTAAAAGTGCTGACTTTTAAGCCCTTAAATCTTAAGCCCTTTGAAGCCCTTAAATCTTTTCACAGAATCATAGAATGGTAGAGTTGGAAGGGACTGCAAGGATCATCTAGTCGAACCTCCTGCAATGCAGGAATCTTTTGCCGAATATGAGGCTCGAACCCACAAACCTGAGGTTAAAAGTCTCATGCTCTACTGACTGAGCTATTCTGAAGATTTAACCCCATTCCCATGCCTCCTACTACCTCTCTTTTCTCAAACCCCTTTGCACCCCCATCCCTTCCTTGTTGCACACAGACCACCCCCCATTTCCATGCCTCATCTTTATCCTATCCTGCAGCCCCCTTTGAGCACTCACCCCATGCTCACATATGTTAAACATGAATATAATCTTAAGAGCAAGCCTGGCAGTTAACTTGTTCAACTAAATATTAAGTTCAGACAACAAATGCTGTACATATGTTACTGTCTGCTTTGTAATAAAATATATCTTCTAAGCAACTACAGTGGTACCTTGGTTTATGAACTTAATCTATTCTGGAAGTCCGTTCTTAAACCAAAACCGTTCTTAAACCAAGACGCGCTTTCCCTAATGAGGCCTCCTGCCGCCAGTGCCCTTTCACCGTTCTGTTCTCAGACCGAGGTAAAGTTCTCAAACCAAGACACTATTTCCAGTTTTGTGGAGTTTGTAAACCAAATTGTTCTTAAACTGGACTGTTCTTAAACCGAGGTACCACTGTACAATGAATGCTGAAGACAGCACACGGTAGTAGGAGTGAAACACATTGTGTGAAGGTTCTATGGAATGCTCCTCATCCTTTAACTCTTTCATCTGAGGTGTTGCAGAAAATAATAATTTCATAAAACTGTATTTTGATTATTCCATCTTCTTTTAAGCCTATGGCCTAGCTAAACTGAAAAGGCCTGTCCCTGCCTATCTTTTAGGGTACGGAATTAGCTGCTTTTAGGTACTGTACGTAGCGAATGTCCGTTCCAGAACACTGAAAAGCCACCCAAGGGCCATTTGTTTTTCTGCAGAGCTGGGCCTTGCAATCTTGCTCCCTGAGGCAAAGGACAGGGTGATGCTCCCTACTCATTCCAGATGCTACAAGCTGATCCACAGTGGGACCACAAGCTCCTTTGGTTGGCAGTAGGTTCACCTTCATTACAGGCTTGATGGCCCCCTCTTAGGTTTCCTGTATCAGCAGGGGATCAGACTAGATTTCCTTGAGGTCCCAACCCAGCTTTAGGATTCTAGGAAATGACTGTTCCCCACAACGTAATTTCTGCTGTAGGATCAGGACTATGTCTTTTGACATGTGAACTTTTCTGTTCTTTTATTCCTTGCTAGACGATGGAACCAAATTAAGTTACTGCAGCCTTCGCACATTTTTCGCCCCTGTTGCATTTGAGAGTTTTATCAAGCATGTATTAGTTCTGCATTTGCACATTTTAGTATCTTCTGTGAAGTAATTTACATGATCTTGATTAAATCTCACTCTATAAAGACTCTTCATATATTGAATTTCTTCAATTTGTTCAGAACGTATCGTATTCTGTCCATACCCTCAATGAGATCTGTAACCCTTGCCAGCTTTTTATCACTTTAATATTGGATTAGTGTGATTCTCTGCCTCACCTACCAAAATTGTTAATGAATCAGTGATCCCTGGTATTCCTTTCAGAAGCCCATTTGACATCTCCTCTCAAATAGTCATTGCACAATGCATAATTACACTGTTTAATTTTAATCCCATTTTGTATCCATTTGACAGCAGTTCCATCAAATATGCATTTCATTAGCTTTCCCAAGAGAAATGCTACATCCAGTATTAAGTACACTGCATGTCCTTTATGCTATATAGACTGAACAAAGAACAAAATATTGAGCCTAGCATAATTAATCATTGGCAAAGCCATTCCACCAATTATCCATATTTCTATAGGTAATTGTGAAGTGACAGCTCATTAATAGAACTATAAGTAAACCATATATCTTAAATCAAGACCATTGACTTAGAACAATTATGATGCAATTCTAATAAAACATTAACAATTGTTTTAATATTCTCCAAGTTCCTCAATATTGTCTCTGTTCAACTGTTATCATTCTAGGATACCAATAATTTTCACCAAAAAAATAAGTTGTTGATTATTATATTACTTCCAATAATTTCTCTCTTTTTCTAATATATATTCTAAGATTTACACTTAAGGGAGAGCTTGGCTAGTTTGAATATTCTGAAATTTATTCTTAAAAACCATGATGGGTGGTCAGCCCTGTATTAAAACTACCATTTTGGCAACAAGAGCAGTATTTTCCACTGCACAAAACAGAAGTATTTTAAGAACCCTTTTGCTCCCTTCGTGCCCTCAGAGATGCAGAATCGCGAAAGTGGCACATACTACGAGTGCTTAATAAACAAGTGAGGTGTAATGAATGTAATTAAAGTGAATAAAATGGTGGCACTTCCAAAACTATTTGATGAATAGGCTAACAGTTGTGGCCCGAAACAGCTACATGCCTCCTTAGAGGTTGCAAAATTCTCATGCAAGTGCTTGAAATTTGCAGCTGCCACTTCAGAATCTCAAGTCTTCACACGGCTGTGAGCTGGACTAGTGCCTAACCCCTAATGGGGGCTCCTCCCAAGCCTACAAAATGTTTCCCCCCCAGCCCTGTTCCTGTACTATTTTGAATAGTAATTTGCAAACCTGCTGTTTACACTACCCTCTCTCCTCTTTATATTGTTACGAGTTGAGGGTTTTTTGGGGGGGTGTCAGTCTTGATCATGGGTCAGCAAACTAAGGGCTGTGGGCCAGATCAGGCCCAACTGCCTTCTGGATCCGGCCCGCGGACGGTCTGGGAATTGCCGCGTGGATTGCCAGCGCATGCGTTCTTTCCCTCTCCCTCCCTCTGCAGGAGCGCAGCCTCCACCTCCTCCCTCCCTCCTCCTGGCTTCTCCCTGCCCTGCCTAGAGGAGGAACGGGGCTGGACTTTGTTGGTGCAAGCAGCAGCAGTGCTCGAGTGGCTGCCATTTTAAGCAGCCCTTTCACACGCTGCTCATCGTCCCTCCACTGCTGCCAGTCCCTGCCACTCGCAAGACACAGGTAAGCAGCCCCTGGGGCTCATGGTGCTCTTGCATCACTCCCCCCCCCCAAAAAAGTCCAGCCCCCCACAAGGTCTGAGGGACAGTGGACCGGCCCCCGGCTGAAAAAGTTTGCTGACCCCTGGTCTTGATGATGCCCTGAGTCCCTTCCAGTTCTTGGGATCCTGTATCAGTAGGGTAGAATGAGAAAGAGCAAGCTTGCCAAACTAGTTCCTTTGTCTATGTAATGGCATTAGCTGATTTGTTATGGTTTTGCCATGATAAGCATAACCAAAGCAGTTGCTCTGTGCCACAGAACTAAAGGGTGGGCCTTCCTCCACCCACTCACCAAAAAGTCTGTTAGGTAGAAGAACAATAGTCAGTGTAGTGTGTGAGAGTTGAGCTGGAAGCTGGAGGCACAGATACATGCTTGCTCTGTGCTGGATCCAAAGCTGCAACTAATTAGGAAGCAAGACTTTTTGGGTGTTAATGCTGTGTGCACCTCCATCCTATGCTCGGATTGTATATATGTGTAAGTAAAACCATATATTCTAAAGGCATTTGTCTTTGCTGACACTCATTCCAAGGAAACTGAGCTCTGGGTGGTACATAGAGGATGCTCCCTAGTTCCCGAATTCTTTTTCACCAAAAGGTCACCAAAGTTATACAGCAAGCAATGCTTTGTTCCTAAATGCTGCCTTTTACATATCTAGCCCTTGGCTGTCAGATAAAGTAGCAACCCTAGTTTTCCCAGTGGTAAATGCCACATAAAAGTATGCACATTTCTCCTAGGTATAGAACTTCAGAAACCACGAAGAAGCTACTGAGAGACGCAAGCCAACTAAAACAACTTCTTTTACTAGTAAGGATAACAGTTAGGTTGCAATGTTGGTCTGCCATAGTCGAAACAAAATAATAATAAAAAATTCCTTCCAGTAGCACCTTAGAGACCAACTAAGTTTCTAATTGGTATGAGATGCCAATAACAAACTTAGTTGGTCTCTAAGGTGCTACTGGAAGGATTTTTTTTTTATTTAGTAAGAATAACGTTACACAATAAAGAACAGATGAGATTGGCTTGCAGTATGCAAAGCCATAGCAAGCAAACAAAGAAAGACATTGTATATAGGATTTTATGCATAGCTGAGGGCAAATCCCCCTGTAAGAACGCACACAAAAAGACCAAGGAGCATCTCTGTAAATGAGAGTGGCTGGATGGTTCCAAAACACGGGGTTTTGCATGCTTTGAAGCTTTTACAGGAATATCTAATTTATGAGCTAAGTCTAAAACTGCACATTTTAAAAGCACAATTAAAAGATGGATGGAAGCTTTCTAAATCAAAGCAAGATTTGATTTAGATACCCATGGGATATCTGGATACATAAAAACAATACAATAAATTACTGCTATAAGATAAGACACATAGTTGTACACCATGCATCTCTTTGAACATGCTCCTTTCTAACTAGCTTCATGGTTATATTGCTTTATTGTTTTATGGCCACTTAATTGCAGGAATTTTACCTTCCTGCCTTTGTATTTTAAGATGGGAAGCCCAAAGGTTGGTATGTAAGTCTCTCATGGCTTATCTCTTTGGCAGAGAGCTCCAGTGTAATATTTACTGTATAAATGGGCAGAATTAAGCTGATGGAAATTGTTAATAGGAATATTTTTCATGGGGTTCAGTACATCACTAATTTTGATGCTTTGGACTAGAACTCCCTGCATACCTGACCACTGGCCATGCTGGTTGAGGGAGCTGATAGAAGCTGTAATCCACAGCTTATCTAGAATTTACCCATACAATTGTAAATTCCAAGAAAATACAGGCTTCTGCAGGAAAGCCAGGGCTGCATTTATTTTACCATTGAGGGTGAGATGGCAAGTGGACATACAAAAATAAAATAAAAAACCTGTAACAACGAATGCAGATTGTGTTCTCCTTGTTAATGACAGGCACTTGGGGTGGCCAATGGCCTGCTGATTCAAAGGACTGTCTCAACACGAAAAATGAACATGCAGCCCCCCTAACTTACAACCTCCCTTCTCTATTATTTATAATAATGCTTTGACAAAGTATAACATTTTATCCAATTATAGATACAGATGAGTCACTGGCTTCACTGCTTGTCAAGACTGGATTATTTTATGGCCTCAGGATTTATTTTTTTATTTAAAAAAAACCATTTGCTTCTCATGTAAAAATTAGAAACTGAATTTTTCAACATATCTAGGAGATCTTCTCAACTATATTGTTGACTTGAGTTCTGGCTGTTCTCCTAAGCATACAGATACTAGGAAACCATACATGTTTACTCAGAAGTTCAATTCACACTTCTACTGATCTTCCAAATAAGAGTGCAATTTTTTTTTAGCCTTGAGTGAAAGTTCTGCAATTAAAAATACATAACTTGGAAGCAAGGCTGTAATGCAAGTTGCTGAAACTTGTTATCTTAGTTACACCAGTTTGGTTCTAAAGATTTAAATGGTTTAAGGCTCAAGTACTGTGCAGCTTCATTTCATTAAAAAATTGCACAATCCAATCTTCTTCTTCTTTCTGAAAATCAGATGATTGCAGTGATGCAAGAATTATTTGTGTAGGATATAATTATGCATGCTATTATATTGAATTTGGATACTCAATGGGGTTTTGGTGATATCAATTTAATATATTTGTGAATCACACTTTGAAGGTGACAAGAGTGGGAAATGAACCCTGAAGAGCCCAAGGCGTCTTTCTGCCATAGACTTTGTGAGGGGCAGGTAGTGATGAAGGCAGGGGAAGTTGCATTGGGCAGCTTGCCAACAATTCTGGCCTTCTTGAAACTAAACAGATATGTTTCTTTCTCCTTTAGAAACAAAGGAGATGAGGAGATGAGAAGTTCTGCAGGTGTGGTCTTCCCTTGTATTAATAAGGAAAAGGTACGTCTGTTACATCTACTAACTTGTGACTCTTAAACTCACAGAAATGGGATATTATCCAACTATTTAGCTTACACTGGCTCCTCTATGGAGTAAACCAACCTTACGGATAGTAACAGGCGATCCTTACCATGAATCCTCAAAAATAAGTTACATTGAATTCAATGTGTCTTACTCCCAGGTAAGTGGGGTTAGGACTGTAGCCTAAGGTTATCTTCTTTTTTTTGCAGAGGGGAGAATGTTTGGTATCCAAGAATGCAAAGAAACGAAGAGTCAAGGGTGATGGGAGCTGTAGTTCAACAACTTGTGGAGGGCCAAAGGTTCTCCACCCCCGGTCTACACAATGAATGATAGCACCATCCCAGTGCATGATAGCTTACCAGTATGAAAAGATAGGTCCCTGCCCCACAGAACTCACAACTGAACATTCAACACAAGTGAGATCTCACAGAGGAAGGGGAAGGAATCGAGCCAGAAGTAGGTAGTCATTCAGTTGCACACACTTAGGTGGCATTGCAATAGAGCATGGTGATTATGGAGTTGTGCAAAAAGTGGATTTTTAGGAAGGAAGGAAGGAAGGAAGGAAGGAAGGAAGGAAGGAAGGAAGGAAGGAAGATTGACAGCAATTGCATTAATATGCTTAAATATTTCTCCATTGTGGCACCAACTGTATGGAATGCTTTCCCCATTGAGATCAACAACTGTGGGTTGTTTTTACCAACTGAAGAAATGCCTGCTCCCCTTGACCCTTAATACTATTGATTAGTAGTGATTAGTAATTATTGTTAGTGTTATTATTTTTATTGCATTTTTAAATTATGTGAACTGCTTTGGTATTTCTTTCCATCGATGCAAGGCAGTATAGAAAACTTGTAATAAAATAAATCTTGTTACGTTTCAGGGCCCATGACTATACGTATTAATTTTTTAAAAAGTGTTTTTGGCAAGTTTTTTTTTTAAAGATGCCCCAGCATCAAGGCTGCATTGTGCAACGCTTATAGAGAAGCAAAGCTGCATTTCCAGGGTGATCTAGAATTGCTATTTGTAATTTATCCTTCAGATTTTTAAACAGCACCATACATTTAGCATTCAGACTAATAGTACAGCTCTGCCTCCCATGACAAAATACATTGCGAAAAATGTACACGGCGCTTAAATTCCCGCGATGCACCATTTTTGTCAGTGTTCTGGATGGCATTGCTCTAACTGCTCTTGTTCATGAGATCATCGATAATGACCAGCAAAATTTTACTAGGAGGGAACTAAATCATCGTCCTTGAGGGGAGATGGTAAGCCTTTGACAAAACAGATAAATGGAAATATAGCTAGCAATTTTTATGCAGTGGCTGTCAACAACTGTAGTACCAGGCAATGTTTTCGAGCATAACAGACAGCACCAGTTCTGCATGCTGCAGTACATTTTTAGAAAAGTAGCTTTTCCTTCAGCTGCCGGGGCCTATGAGAATGACTGAGAAAGGATGGTGCCAGAATTTCTACTTTTCAGCTGTCCCTTACACTGCCATATGTAACTCTGAGGGATTTCACCCATGCAATCTCCTTATCTTCATTCCCCAATAATACACAGAGGGGACAAGTAACAAATCAGATTGGTTAATTTACATATACATTATATTTTTCACAATAGGGCATGGAAAAAATGTAGGTTCTGTGTGAAATCAGGTTTTTTTTTAATTGGCTTTTTGTCAATTGGTTTTAAGTATGGGACTACACACACACACACACACACACACACACACTAAGGAAGGCTGTGGAGTTGGTTACAAAAATTCAAAAACGTGCAGATGCTCAGTTTGAGATATTTCAGCAAAAATCCTAGAATACACATCGTGTACATTCCCCCCCCCTCCACATAATGTTTTTCACATTGAATTTATATATTCTTTTCCCCAGTGCATGCAAGCAGGGCCAGCCCACTCATGAGACAAGGTGAGGTGACCGCCTCAGGTGGCAGCTGATATGGCCTCCAAGGAATGAATTGTCCACCACTGCTGCCGCAGTGGCAGCAACAACTGCGGAGCACTCCTTAGATGCCGGGTCTGCTGCCATTTCAGCAGGCACCCCCCAATACCATGTCTACAGCCCCCTCTTGGGGAACAGGAGGCACTGCAGGTCTCCTCTAGCACTTGTTCCCAATGTAGATTTTCGCTCTACCTTTCTTCCCTGAGGCATACTATTTTGTGGTTCGCCTGACACCAAAATGTATTGAGCCAGCCCTGCAAGCAAGAATGCACCCCCCCCACGCATTTGTTAAACAAAACTTCACTGTGAGTGTATTCTTACCATGAGCGCACCGACAATCATATCAGTCTTTCTACGTTTTTTCACTGGTGTGGCATTGTCTTCTTTCTTGATCTCCAAGGGCAAGGTTTTATTCAACTTGAAATGTGGTCCAGTTCAAAATCCCACAATCCAGGACACAGGTGACTGCCATGCGTAGAATATTTTGCCTGAAAAAATAAATTCAAACCTCTGAGTTGTATGGTATAGACTGTATGATACGCTTGCCCCATAAAAGCAAGCTGAGGCATGTGAAGCACATTTCATTAGGGCAGGGCGGTCAAACTTTTCCTGCCAACTGGGCCATACTAGTACATCGACATGGAACCCACGGACTGCACACTGCCTTGTTGCATGGAGGAGGGGAGAGTGAGTTCAAAAACTGATGCCCCCACCAAGTACTCATGCCACCTTTCCAAAGCCAGATAAGTAAGGTGCTAGATTTAGAGGAGGCCTGAGGGCTCTGACAGGGTCCTAGAGCAGGGGTCAGGTCCACTGTCCCTCAGACTTTGTGGGGGGCTGGACTATATTTTGAAGAAGAAGAAGAAAGAATGAATTCCTATGCCCCACAAATAACCCAGAGGTGCATTTTAAACAAAAGGACACATTCTACTCATGTGAAAACATGCTGATTCCCGAACCATCCGCGGGCCGGATTTAGAAGGCGATTGGGCCGGATCCGGCCCCCGGGCCTTAGTTTGCCTACCCATGTCCTAGAGCCTTTACATCTCCTTCCCAAAGCCAGGAAAGCATTAACTAAGCTTTGGGAAGGAGACAGGAGGACTCTAGGACCCTGTCAGAGCCAAAGCTCAGCATACCTGGGTAAGGGCTGGGTGTTTGTGTGTGTGTCAAATGTTGCCAAGGACTGCCAAAAAGGGCCTCAAGGGCCATGTGTTGGACCACCTGCATTAGAATGTGCACCCAGTGGTTTTTATTTATTTTTTCATTTCAAAGGAGGAAGGGAAAAGATAGAAATACCTTAAAACAAAATTTGTCATTATATATGTATGTGTGTGTGTGTGTGTGTGTGTGTGTGTATATATATATATATAATACAAACTTTATATAAAATGATATAAGATTTATATCAAAAGGTAAGACCTCTGATAAAAGACATGGAGACTTATGGTGAAAAGGGATTCCCTGTCAACCTGTCGGGTTGATAAATAGTAGTCCTCTCCTCCTTCTGTTGCAGGATAAAAGTAGGATTGCAGGGCTGAGAGAGACCCCTACCTAAAATTCTGCACAGCCTCTTCAGAGTCAGTGTTGACAGTACTGAGCTTGCTGGTTTGAAGATATTCTCAAGGCAAATCTAAAAAAGTAATAGTAGTAGTATAAACACTGACAACTGGGAAACACTGGCCTGAGAGAGCTTCATTTGGAGAACAGCCTCTACCAAAGGCATCATGGACTTCGAAGAAGCACAAACTCAGGACGCAAAGGAGAGCTTAGAGGAAGGCACGTTTGGCAAACCCTCGCTGTGATCAACTCCCACCTGGAAACTATGTCCCCACTGCGGAAGGATGTGCGGATCCAGAATTGGCCTCCACAGTCACCTACAGACACAGAGTTAAGGCCATATTCATGGAAGGCAATCTTACTCAACTACAAGCGATTGCCAAAGAAAGCTGGGCCAATTGTCAGACTTTGTACAGTTATACCTCGGGTTAAATATGCTTCAGGTTGAGCATTTTCAGGTTATGCTCCGTGGTGACCCGGAAGTAACGGAACGCGTTACTTCTGGGTTTCGCAGCTCACGCCGCTCAAAATTACGTCACACACATGCGCAGAAGTGGTGAATTGCGACACGCACAGACGTGGGTTGCGTTCTACTCTGGATGCGAACAGGGCTCCGGAATGGATCTCTTTCACATCCAGAGGTACCACTGTATAAGGTAGATTCCAATGAAGTGTAGAAAGAAGACCACTTTCTTGTGATTTCATAGCTACACAGCAAGACATCCAACAGGCCAATGATCTATTTGTTGCATGGATGCACCTGTTCAGTTTCTACTTGAGACGGAAGGTGCAGGTGTTCTGCTAAGCAGAAATGGGCAAACATTAGCCCCCCCCCCCATCTCCATGTTCTTGCGCGTCTCTCCGCCAAAGCTGAGCTCCCCACATAGGGCCGGGTGCAATCCCTTGCATCTCCAAGTGAGGTCCGGGGCCTGGGCCTGGGGAGCTGCTGCCAGCCAGAACAGACACTAGTGAGGTAAATGGACTCGACATAAGGAAGCTCCCTGTACACTTCTCAGTGTGGCAGAGGTAGGTGCCCATTGCCGCCCGCAAGTCACCTGTACCTAGAGCTGAGGTAACAAAGCCACCACCGTCCGCAAGGGGACTCCTGGGTCCCGGGGCACCGTCTCCCTCGCGCGGTTTTCCTCGCGCCTTGGAATGCTCCCGGATAAAACTAAGCGCGCGCCCGCGCGCGTCTCTATAGAAAGTTCTGGTTGCGTAAGGCGCCCCTTCCCCGCCACGGAGAAGCGCTCCGTCCGCTCCAGGTTCCTCTTTTGCGCGGCAGCTGCGCTCTGCTACTGCCGCCGCCGCCGCTCAGGGGGCGCTGGGCGGGCTCAACTATTTCCTGTGGAAATCCCAAACGCTCGGCTCCTCCTCCCCACGGCGCGTGTTTGTGGGCTGGGGGTGGGTGGGTGAGAGAGAGAGAGACTGGCTGAGGAGGAGCAGAGCATCGCCTGCTGCCGCTTCAGCCGCTTGCGCCTGCCTCCGTCTTCCTCGTCGTCGTCGTCTTTTTCGCCAGCCTCCTTCGCGTTGCCTGCGGCCTCCCGGCGCTGCCAACCATGCCCCAGCCGCAGCAGCAGCAGCAGCAGCAGAGGTGGTGGCGGCGGCGGCAGCGGCATTCCTAGCCTGCTCGCGGAACCTACCTACGGACCGACCGACCTTCCCCTCTTTCCCCTGGGCGCGCGCTCCCTCCCCCGTCCTCCCCGGGCGGGAGAGAGAGGCTCCTGCGTTGCCTCTCCCAATGGGCAGTTTGCTGAGCGGGGTCAGCTTCAAGGAGCCCACCACGGTGGAGGACTGCGACTCTACCTGGGAGACGGACTCCGAGCCCGAGCTCCAGGACTCCGGAGGGGAAGAAGGGACGCCGCTCGAGGGGCTGGGGGGCGGAGAAGAAGGAGGCGGCGGCGACCCAGCTGAGGACGAGCAGCAGCAGCAGCAGCAGCAGGGGGAACCGCTCCCTGCGGCAAGCTGCCGGCCGGAAGACGCCGAGCCCAGAGAAGGGGTTGCTGAGGAGCCTGAAGAAGAGGAGCTCGAGGAAGACGAGGACGACGAGGAAGAGGAAGAGGAGGAAGGCGAGGATCAAGAGGGAGGGAGGCACGACGAAGCGGAGGCCGCCAGCATCGAGCAGGTAACTCGGGACGCTGCAAACTTCTCCAGGGGGCTATTTGGGGGGCGGTGTCTGGAGCCCTCCCCCCTCAGCGCCATTGCCTCTGCCCCCCTGCCAGTGCTGGTGCCTCTCCAAGGTTGTGTGCCTCCCCTCCCTCTGTTCAGAGGCAGGTGTGCGCCAGAGTCTCGGAATGCAGCAGCAGGGGACTTTTGGACACCATGGTTGCAAACGCTTGGGGTGCGTGTGCGCGCGCGCGCTTGTGTGTGAGAGAGAGACAGAGATAAATATACATTTCTACTTTCAGCTTTCTCCATTTCCCCTTTTTTCCTCCCCCCCCCCCCCGCATGCAGTGTGACTCAGGAGCCAAGCTGTGGCTGCATCATCCTTGTTGTTGTTGTTGTTATCATCATCATAATATTCTTAGTAGGGTTAAACAAGAAGAAGCTAAATATGGATTTGAGGTGTGTGGCAATCAAAGGAAAGACGACCAAGGAAGCGAAGCACTCTGGCCTGGCAGGTTTGCTGTATTTTGTTACCAGCTTGCTGATCCAGCCTGATTTTTGTTTTCCTTCCTGTGACATGCGTAGCAAGGAGGAACGGTGGGGTGGGGTGGGGGATTTACTGTATTCATTTTCCCTCAGGCAAGCTGTTGAGCAGAGCTTTATATCTTCTCTTTTAGAAAAAGATTCTGGTGGCTTTAAAATGTAGAAGGTCAAAGTAGTTCTAATCTTCTCTGTTTCCTTGGTATAATCATCCCCCCATCACATGCCTGCCTGTTCAGGGTATAGAAATTACAGTAGCACATGTGGTGACAAAATGCAGTTTCAGAACAGGGCTTATTTGACATTCTGGCTGAGTGTAACTACAGCTATGATTGCACGTATTAGACAACACATCACTGTGCAGGACCAAAAGAACTCATAAACCCAAGAAATAAGGAGATTATTCAAAGAAAAGAGAGTTACTTGCCTCCTCCTTATTCAACTCTAGGCTAGATCATATTCTCAGCTTTTTACTTTTTAAAAAAAATACTCTTACCCTGAATGCAACGTGGACTCTATTTTCAATCATTACCTCCATGGAATTATTTTCTGTCTCTTAACAAACATTAAACTGAAGACCACTGTCCTTATGTTTCCACCTCATGCTTTCATCTCTGTAGAGAATTATTATTATTGAAACTGTACCTCCACATATTAGCCTGGCTCATGTGATAAGTGGGGCACTTTTTAGGCAGTTTTGCCATTCAGTATTCCCATATGTATATTTGCACAGTACAAAAGGTATGGATCTGTGTTTTATTTTCTGACTGCATTCCAACAGGGATCTTACATCACAGTCCTATGCACATCTACTCAAAAGTAAATCCTACTGAAATCAATGGTACAAACAGTGCTTTATTTCCCTAGAAAAATAGGTGCCGGTACTCACCATGAAGTTGTTACAGTAAGTGCTACACTTTTTAACAGCATAAAAAAAGTGCTGGTACTATGTACCCTTGACTACCCCCTGGAAAAAAAAGCACTGGGTAAAGGGACTCCTGACCATTAGGTCCAGTCGTAGCCGACTCTGGGGTTGCAGCGCTCATCTCGCTTTATTGGCCGAGGGAGCCGGCGTACAGCTTTCAGGTCATGTGGCCAGCATGACTAAGCCGCTTCTGGCGAACCAGCGCAGTGCACGGAAACGCCATTTACCTTCCTGCTGCAGCGGTACCTATTTATCTACTTGCACTTTGACGTGCTTTCAAACTGCTAGGTTGGCAGGAGCAGGGACTGAGCAACAGGAGCTCACCCCCTTGCGGGGATTCGAACAGCCGACCTTCTGATTGGGAAGCCCAAGAGGCTCAGTGGTTTAACCCACAGCGCCAAAGTACAAACCGGTAAGCATTAGTAGGTTTCTTTAATAAACGTGGAAATGTTGGAAGCAGTATACAGTCTTCAAAATATAATGTAGAGTCTGCATTTGTTTTTGTGGCTTTTGCCAAGAAAAGAAGAGTGGTTTTTTCTTTGCTGCTTTGATGTGGGTGAAGTAAAGTCCCCATGCACTGCTGTTGCCATTTGCCTTTTTTCAGTTGCATATTCCCCTTTACCAACACCAGTCCCATTAGAGGTAATGCACCTCCCCACCCCAGCATTATGATAAAGGCTTTGAGTTTGAATAGTCCATCACTGGACACCTGTAAAATGAAAAGTAATGGAAACTATCTAGGATAATTAAGGCTCTGTGGGACTTTGTATTCCACTGTTCCTCAGAGTAAACCCATTGAAATGAATGAACCTAGGTTAGTATTAGTAATTAATTTCAATAGGTTTACTCTGAGTAGAAGTTAGTTGAATACAACCTGTTTGGCTCATTCAGTCAAAAGTTACTTCTGACAAATTTGCCACTCCTTCTCCCCCCCCCACACCCTGTTCCAGTAAATGTCCTTTATCCATTCATAAAGTAGTGGAATTATGTTGCTTGGATCCATAAGCAGTTCTTAAACATGCAGCACATTGACTAGATGGGATTGGGTCGGTGCAAGTTGTCATTAGTCAGAGATACTAAGTCAAGAAAAGTTATTAACTCCAGAGAGGCTGTCTCTTACACATAAGAAGAGGGGATAATCCTGTAACTTGAGTTCCAGGTTTTATCCAAATATTTAAAATGAACCATGGAGCAAGTAAAAACATTAGCCCATATCAAATTCTGGTTGGTAACAATGTGAAGATGTATTGTTCTCTTTTTTAAAAGTGTTTTGAAAGATAGAAAAGAACACTAGTAGAAAGCAAATAATGGGTCATTCTAGTGGCTGGGCAGATACAACAATGTTTCTGTTTTTCCTTGGTTATAGGTTTGGCTACAAATCCCCTAAATCTATGGAAAAATATATTTATTATTTGAGTGGAGTTTGTTAAATTATATCTTATGTTAAGATTTAACATATAACAAAACTGCGACTAATGGAATTATCAATGGTTGACACACTGAGGGTGCCTGTTATTCTTTAATGTGCAATTTTAAGCCAAACACCAGCTAGAGTGCAAGTCTTATTATTCAGTATAGGAAATAACCATAGATTCTGAAAGTGGTGTACATTTGCATACTCTTTCTTAACCTTTCATAAATGGTTATTTTGGCAATTTGAAATCTTAATGCAAGGTTATTTAATATTTTAAAAATACTCACTCAGAATGTTTTATGGTCTGCAGTACTGAACTCAGAACACTTACAAACTAGACAGACTTGTACTTATGCAGATCTTGGTTCAGCAGTTCCTTGAAGTTTTCTGAAAGCTTGAATAATTTATACTTGTAGGCAAAAAAATAAAATAAAAATGTCACCATTGCTCCATAGTGTGTATCAAGCCCTCCCTCCAAGATTCTCTGTCTGAAAGGTGGGCAAAATTATGGCCATTGTCACTGGTACCTTCCTTTATCACATTCTGGAATCGGAAGTTCAGATTTCTGAGGAAAGCCCTAATCTGTTTAAGTCCTAATGGTACCCTATTTCTTTCGGGGGTCACTTCCAGCTGGCTAGCCACATGTGCCAGACAACTTTTAGCAAGAAGAGTCAGTCTCTCAAGGTCGTGAGAAAATAAACCTATTTCTTTCTTCTTCTTTATTTTAAACAGCAGGAACCATTCAGTAGAATGCATGAAGGACAATATTCAGTAACCAGAAACCCATCATAAAAAAAACACTGAGTGTAACCCTAATAGTACCAATAAATTGCTTTGGAATAGGAAATCACATGCATATGTATGTTTGATGTATATTTGTGTGTGCACACATGTGCATGCATGCAAATGTTTAAACAGTTGAGGTAGTTTGAAATTTCTGTATTTTGTTTTCCAGTCCTTTGTCATGTTGGCTTCTCCGCATTAATCTTTCAGAGTGAGGTTAAGAAACTGCTGAAGGTCACCCAGTGAGCTTCATAGTTGAGTGACACGAATTGGAAATAGACTGATCCATCCATAACTACAGCTTAACACATAGCTGTTTCATTTTCTACAGGAAAAAGTTGTAAGAAGTAGCAGCACCAAAATTAAAGACATGGCAGTTGCATGTATAGCATAGCTTAAACAAATAATCCTTGAAAATGAGAGCAGCCCAGTTACAAGTCAGATACTAACTTTGAATGTCCCCAAAGCAATAGAAATGAGGTCACTATGCTGTGTGAATAGGCCCTTGACTTGCTGCCAGACCTGTGAACAAGCTCCACAGGAAAACAATGTGCTGCTGGCTGTGATGAGAAAGCTTCCATATTGTCTATCTGTACTGCTCAACTTATTCACTTGTGGCAGTCGTGCCTGGATACCGGTCATCAAGCAATGAGCATGCATGTGTGAACTAATACGCAGTGTCATTCACCTTCCAGCTGCAGCTCGGGGGGGGGGGACCTCCACCAAACTTCAGGAACAGCTTTTTGGGAAGGAATGCAAGGAAATGTGGGAGGGAGGGAATTGAAAAGCATCAGTGTGCACACAAAACAGCATGTGTGGCCCTTTGGAATGAATGCAGCCCTTTTTTATTTTTTTAAAATGGAATGCCACACTACCAAATATACAGTCAAGTCTAAAAAGATTATGCTCATGGAATATGTCTGCTCTTTGCAGGGGGATGATGCAATTGAAGTGGCAGCTAAACCAAAGAGAAGCTTTTACGCTGCAAGAGATCTGTACAAATATCGGCACCAATATCCAGTAAGAGCATTTTGCAGTATTCAGATCTTCACCAAGATAGAGGCATGGCAAATTTTTTAAGTCCCTAAAGTAATTTTACAGTTCCAGCGGAGTGTTTCAAATCTAGAGAACTCCATCACATAAGTCTATGAAAATATATGCAGGTGGGTGGGTGACTAATCCTAGAAACCCCATGGCTGCCACTGTTGGCTGGTTCTACTAGAAGACAAGTATGTTTGATTTCATATACTGTACCTACTGGTAACAGAGACTTTTGCTAGACTAGGCATAGGCAGACTCGGCCCTCCAGCTGTTTTGGGACTACAACTCTCATCATCCCTGACCACTGGTCCTGTTAGCTAGGGATGATGGGAGTTGTAGTCCCAAAACATTTGGGACACAATTTCCTAGGTTTTGTACCAGAAAATATTGTCTTGATAGCACATATATCTGCCTTTGCAAATTATTGCCACAAACACTCTCCTATCAGGGCATTCAAGAGAGAGCATAACAAGCGCGGTTCTATACATGTCTACTCAGAAGTATGTCCCACTGTGTTCAATGGAACCTGCTCCCAAGAAAAGATGGAAGCCAAAGGCCATTCTGTAGGCAAAAACTTACCAAGAAATGAACAGAAATTCTCATACATCGATAGAATAAACTTTAGCACCAATTACATGAGATGTGGGACCCTGAGAAGCTGAGCTAGAAAAATGACAGGAAAACAATGGGGAAAATATAAAGTCAGATTGTAAAGCATGTTATAGCATGTTTCGTGAATTAACCCCTCTAATGTGACAATCCTAAATACACTAACTTGAGAGTGTCATTTAACTTGCTGGGATGTACTTCTGCAAAAACTAACAGTGTACTCCTGTACATGTCTACTCGGAAGTAAGTCAAACTGAGTTCAGAGGGGCTTACTCTCAGGTAGGTGGGTATAGAATTGCCACCCAAGTTGCTCACCATATAATTGCCACACTACCCTTCCTTTAGACAGTATTACCGTAGATATTTTAACTGTGTTATATTGTAGTTCAATTTTTGTTGATTAGCAAAGACTTGAAAGCTTATCTTTCTATATGGAATAGTTTTACTCTGTCATATATGCTATTATATAATCAATTCATGAACCTGAATTATTAGTGTCTCTCATCCACCTCCTCTTGACCTGCTGATTTCTCTTGACTAAGGTGTTACCTGCCCTTAGCTTAAGGGAAAGATTACACATTACATGTAATTCCAGGGCTGGTTTCCTACAAGTTTTTAAGGAAAGCGGCACGGGTGACTTCAAGTTGCACAGTGGATGGGGCAGGAAGAGTTGCTGGGGACAGATCTTTAACAGACAGATGGCTGGCAAAGAAGGGATTAAACTAGAGTTAACCAATGTGGTGCCCTATAGATGTTGTTAGACTACAACTCACATCATTCCTGACAAGTACCCAAGCTGGCTGCAGCTGATGGAACTTGTAGTCCAAAACATCTGAAGGGCGCCACATTGGATACCCCTGAACAGCTAACCAATCCTTCTCCCCACCCCCACAGGCCATCCATCCCCTTTGCCCAAGCTGAAACCACTTATGGCTACTCTGCATTGAATAAAAACCTGTTTTCCCAATCATAGAATATAGGGACATTTGCCCCGCCACCAAGATCTGGCTTGACTTTCATTTGGTCAGATTCTTATCTGTCCTACTGATGACGGCTTATCTTCAGCCTATTTCCTATAGATATATTTGGCTGATCATGCTTTGTGGTTTTCCCCCTATCTCTCTGCTCAGCAGAACTTTAAAGATCTGCGGTATCAGAATGATTTGTGCAACCTCCGTTTTTACAAGAATAAAATTCCCTTTAAACCTGATGGTAAGTAATCCATGGGCATTGTCACAGTGTTTGTTTCATTCTTTTATATCCAAGGCCTTTGTAAATCAAAAGATCAAAACCAATTCATTGTCAGGTTTGGCTTCAGCAGTTTTGTAGCCCTATCCTATGCATGTTTACTTGGAAATAAGGCATACTGAGATCAGTGAGGCATTTCCCCAGGAAAGTTTGCATGTGATGGCATTTTAAGGCATGGGATTTCATTTTGGTCAATTAACAGAAGCTCATCTTTGTGAAGTTCAAATATACTACCTCTAACCTGTTTGTGAGCTGCAGCAGCCTGATTTTGGTTTTCAGCTCCAACCTCAAATGGTGCAAAATTTCCACTACGTTTGGTTTACTCCAAGAAAAGCAGATCTCTTGTGGGTTTCCTATTAATCTGGATCATGATGCCTTGAAATTTCCAATTTATTAAGCATAACTTGAAAAGCTCTGGATAAATTATTAGAGGCATTACCATTGTGCTCTTCAAGTGAAACAAACCCCCCAGGTTATGTTATATATGTTGGTGCCAGATTAATAAAACCAGTATTTCTTTGGTGCATTTGAACTTTGGTGTTATTGTGTTGCACTATTGTGAACAGACTATGTATTTTTTAGGAACCTTGGCTACTGGGTTAAGTGGATCATGTCCATAGCAGTGTGCATTGGTTTTACTTAAGAGTTAGCAATTTATAGAATATTGCCATTCCCCACCACCACCACATTTGTTTGGGGAAGTAGTTTTAAGTCAAGTCACAAGGTTGGTGGGGAGTGGGCTGAGCCACACTACTTATAGCATGGCTGGCTGTTGTGATGGGGAGAGCAAATTGCTCTTGGCAGACAGATAATTTGTATGAATAACATTGCGGCACTGAGCATAGGTCAAAAAACATAGGCTGGCCTTAGCAGCTAGCCCAAACAGTTCCTTGCCATGGCATTTACCAACTTCCTCTGAGGGAATGGGCAGGATGTTCTAACATTATGCTGAACTTGAAATAAAGAACTGCAGAGGTGAGCGCCTCTCTTTTTCCAGAGTTGAGGAGGTCAGACATTCATTCCCATTGTGCTAAACCTCAGCATTAAGGACAGCTCCGACCTTTCTCATTACAGAGCCCTCACACTCCTCCAGCAAAGGAAGGAAGAGCAAAGGGTTGCCTTGTTGATGTGCTCATGTCAAAGCAAAATATGTACTCCCCAGTAACAAGCTGGCAAGTGCATTTGTAGATCCTTGGCTCTATATAGTGCCTGGTGTCTTCTCTGTGGTTAGAAGGACAATGTTAATATTTTCAAGTAGAGACAATATATTTGTCTACAAAATACATTTTTGTGTTCTATGCCACAGCATTTTTAGATGCATGATACATATACAGGTTGTTAAATTTGATGTTTGCATTTGCTCATGCATTTGTATTTATAGGTGTTTATATTGAAGAAGTCCTAAATAAGTGGAAAGGAGATTATGAAAAGTTGGAACACAATCACACTTACATACAGTGGTTGGTAATTGTTTTCTTTTCATTGCTTTTATAATACATTTATATAAATTTGTCTAAACTTGCTTAATCCGCAACAAATCTCTGTGTCTTTAATAATATAGGCTTTTTCCATTAAGAGAGCAAGGACTGAATTTCTATGCAAAGGAATTAACAACATATGAAATTGAGGTAAAGCTAATAATTCACAATATAACTTTGCTGCTTGATGATTAAGGGTAAACTTATTCTATATCTCTAATTTTGTTGTTGTTTGTACCTTCTTTTTGAAAACGTGTTGCAGGAATTCAAAAAAACAAAAGAAGCAATTAGAAGATTCCTGTTGGCTTACAAAATGATGCTGGAGTTTTTTGGAATAAAATTAATTGATAAAACTGGAAATGTTGCACGAGCATCTAATTGGCAAGAACGATTCCAGCACTTAAATGAGTAAGTAATGTCTTGCAGTAGAGAAAATCCTCTATTTGCGCTACTCCCCACTTTATTTATTTGCAACATTTTATATCCTGCTCTTTGTTGCCAAGCTGTTCCAGGGTGGGTTGCAGCAATAAAAAATACATCATAAATGCACCATAAAGTCTTAACATCATTCAGTCTTCTAACAAGAATGACAATATACAATTCCCATCTCTTTGCAAGAGAAACCAGGTGGTTCTGAATTACATCCACCTCCACCGCAAAAGGCTGGGAGAAAGAGGAAGGCACATGTGGCAATCAAGATTCTCCAACCCCCAGATGTCAATATAAGGGCATAACATTTGAACAGCACTTGCATAAAAGTGCGGTTGATTTCCAGGTTGTAAGTGCACATATGCGGTGCATTGAGATTTTACGTGATCTCAAAGGCAGAACAGGCTCAGCTGGTCAGAAGGAGGTATATGGTTTTCTCCACCATACATAGGGATGAGATTCGGTTCCATGCTGCCTTTCTTCCTTAGAGAAGCATGAATTCTTTGTCAAGAGTTTTTGCATCTGTGTGTCTATCAGCAACTGTTTCTGTTTGCGTATGTCTTTAGCTGTGTCAGTGAATACTGATTTCATTTATTTACTTATTTCATAAATTTTATACACCACTTAATTGTAAAAAAAACCAAACCCACCTCATAGCTGTAGTCATCAGGTGGCGCCCAAGTAGTATCTCTACTCTCATGTTGTTGTTTAGTCGTGTCCGACTCTTCGTGACCCCATGGACCAGAGCACGCCAGGCACTCCTGTCTTCCACTGCCTCCCGCAGTTTGGTCAAACTCATGCTGGTAGCTTCAAGAACAGTGTCCAACCATCTCATCCTCTGTCGTCCCCTTTTCCTTGTGCCCTCAATCTTTCCCAACATCAGAATACTAGTTGCTGGAAATTGCAGATGAGCAGAATGCTGTTGTGCTTGCAGGCTTCCCATGGTCCACTGGCCTGATCTAGCATATTTATCTTCCTTTTTATGTTCTTATGTAGTATGAAAAGGCAATTCTAGTTTAGCTGGCATTGAAAGACCTTTCACTTGGTAGTTGCCATTCCATCTGAATTGTCTCTGAAAGATCCACATTGGATTGGTAATCCTTTTTGTCAAGGTGTCAGGTGCTGATTATTTTTCCTATCCTCTTCCCCCCACGCCCCATCCCGCGGCAAAGAAAAATAATGCCCCACTTTGCTTCCTGTCATTTTGAATTCAGATGATTTTCCCCCCTTTTTGCAGGTCCCAGCATAACTACTTGAGGATCACCCGTATTCTGAAGAGTCTTGGCGAACTTGGGTACGAGAGTTTCAAACCTCCTCTTGTAAAATTCATTCTTCACGAAGCTCTCGTGGAAGACACCATCTCCAACATTAAGCAAAGCGCTTTGGAATATTTTGTATATACTATTAGAGACCGGAGAGAGAGGAGGAAACTCCTGCGGTTTGCCCAGCAGCACTACACACCCTCTGACCACTTCATATGGGGGCCGCCGAGGAAGCAGAAGTTGGAAGGAAGCAAGCCAAGTAAAAAGCTGGCATCGCCGGTTTCTCTCCGCAGCGGTTACGTTTCTAAACACAAAAGTGGGAGAGAATGCAAGAATGTGCCCGTGGTTTGTAACTCAAGTGGCAAAGCAACCAATGAAAAAAGGGCAGAACATGCTAAAAAGGATGACGATTGTGACCAGAACAGGAAACACGCCAGCCCTGAGGTTGTTAAGCAAAGCATTGGTGAAAAGAATAGCAATGCTGATTGTCAGAACTCCATACTGGAAGAAATTGCTAATCCTTCGAACCAGAAGGAGAACGTTTGCCATCTTAAAAAACATAAAGGCAAAAATGATGAAAACCTTAATCAAGACTGCAGAAATGCAGAACTGGTAGAAAAAGATTGTCGTGACTGTAAAAGCGATTCAACTAATATATCAACAGATCTGCAAGACAGTGTAGTTAAGGATAAAAACCCAGGAGGATCGAACAAAGAGGAGACTCGAGCATAGACTAAAGTGTCTCAGTTAACTTGTATGAAATTGGACAAGGAAAAGAAGATCTTGATGCAGGGCCCAGTGCTTTTGGCCACCAAGGGGTTATGCTCTCTTTCATTTGACTCTTGTTAACTGTTTGCACTTTTCAGAACTGTGTATTAAGCTTAAAAACAACTGCAGAATCCTCAAGCCTAAGAACTCCTATGCTAAGCATTGCTCTCTTTGTGGAAACTATTGATTTCAGTTATCCTCCCCCCCCCCCAATCTTATTCTAATATACATTTTTTTAATCTTAGTTATTTGGCAGCTAGGGTTCCAAGGACGTCCAAGGAATGTTTTCTTAATGATAATCACTTGGTATGCTGAACTTTGCAATGTTTGCCATTGCTTGAACAACAAAAGCAGGTTCATTTAGGCTGTATATTCAGCATCACCACCATCTGGACATAGAAACTAAACCTCAGAGATCCAGGTTCAAGTCCTACATCTCCCATGACTCTCACATTGACAGCAACCGTGTGCCGCTGTGGGTTAAACCACAGAGCCTAGGGCTTGCCGATCAGAAGGTTGGTGGCTCGAATCCCTGTGACAGGGTGAGCTCCCGTTGCTCGGTCCCTACTCCTGCCAACCTAGCAGTTCAAAAGCACGTCAAAGTGCAAGTAGATAAATAGGTACCGCTGCAGCAGGAAGGTAAACGGCGTTTCTGTGCGCTGCTCTGGTTCGCCAGAAGCAGCTTAGTCATGCTGGCCACATGACCTGGAAGCTGTACGCCAGCTCCCTCGGCCAATAAAGCGAAATGAGCGCCGCAACCTCGGAGTTGTCTGTGACTGGACCTAATGGTCCCTTTACCTTTACCTATGTTCTCTCGGCCTCAGTTCCGCCACTGAGGGTGTATACTTCTCAAGTGTTATTTGCTGAGAAGACGAAAAAAGCTAGCAAATCACCTTTTACATTAAAAACAACTATTAGTAAGATTTGCACACCAGCACCCCTTGTTCCAAAATACTCATATATAGTTTATGAAGGCATCTTCCCTTGGTGCCTCCTCTCTCCCTTCCTTCCTCCCATGCAGCTGCACAAGTCTAAAAATCAGGACACAGCATTTTGCCAATGTTTATTTTGCCTGAGAGACCCACTTCTGCTGATAAAGGAGTATAAGGTCAGAAAAGGCTTAAGCACTGCCGAGACAAAGTTGATGACTGCCCACTCAGCTTCTAAAGCAGAAGCAATATTTTGAGATTGACCTTTTCTTCCTTGAAATTCTGGTGGGATTTGAAAGTCCTCTGTGCAAAAGGGGAGATAGCAGCATTCTTTTCTTTGTTCTTCCCCAAGTTTCCAAAAAATTCATGCCTACATCCTCACTTCTAGCTACTAGGGGTATGCAGGGAACATCCAGGGAAGAAAAAATTCTTTATCGTGCACCTGATCCAGGTAACTCTTTACCTGCTTCTATGCACATGCTTGCTTATTCTCCTCTCCCCAGAAAACTTAAGATTTCTTCCATGGGAAGTGAGGGAGAACTTTGAAGCAGGATGGATTAAGAAGACACTGCCAGAACCAAGGAATATGCTTCTTCAACACACACAGCCTGTTCTAGTAAGGGTTAGTCCATACAAAAGACCAAACTTCTCTTTCACCCCAGATAGCTTGGACATCTTTTACCAAATAGTAAAGAGTATTTTATAGAATGATGGTTGAAGGTGTGTGCTAAAATTGTTGTCTGCGCAGCTTCTCGACCTCCTCAGTGGGTACCAAAAGCCTGTTTTGAAGGAGGGGCTCATAATTGTAAGGGCTTCATTTCCTCCTTTGTTATCTTAAACCAGAGCCTTGATGAATCCAGAGTGAAAAGTGCGCTCACAAATAGCTTTCCAGTGCATTTAAGGCAAACCTTTCCACATCTCAGTCCAGTTGGAAAGACATTGACGAGAGAGGGCTTTTGTTTTTTAGATTTATATTCTACCCTTCAAATGCCTTTTCAGTTGTTCTAACCAGGTAAGAAGTAGCTTCTTCAGAGCTTTCATGCCTCTGTGCTGGGAGACACTGGCACAGCCTTCCCCATACTGGTTCCTTCCAGATGTTTGGGACAGCTACTATTAGCATCAGCACAGCTTGCTGACTAGGACTGATGGGAGTTGTAGTTCAAAACATCTGAAGGGCACCAGCTTGGGGAAGGCTGCACTAGCATATCTTTGCAGGCCTCCCCCCTCCAAATGTGTGTTTATACAGAAACAAAATATGAGCAGTACCTTTTGGTTTTAGACCTCCCTCTTACCTGTATTAATCTTACAAATGTTTCAGTGACGGCTGTTTCAGTGGTACTACTGCAGACTTGGAAATGGGGATAGGACTTGTACTGGAGTGTTGGTGCCGATGCCAGATTTTCTTTCAAAGCCGGTAGCTTCCCATCCACAAAGAGTATAGCTATGAGTTTATTACGGTTTATCCTGTAAAAAGTGTGTATACAATTCCAGTTTTGTCCTTGGATTTACTATTCAGCAGATGCCTCCTGGCATACGGAATGAGGGTGAAACTGGCACCAATTCTGTGATGTTGGAGACTGTTATTTGAGGAGGTATTCATGAAATGTGTACCACACCAAGCACCCTTTCTGCAACCCCCTTTGAAATTAAAAACAACAACACCCTCTTATTTAAATGTTCTTAGTGTTCCTTCCTGATGCAGGATTCTCTATGTATAAAATAGCATCCCTGACACATCTTATCCACCCTTCAGGTTAATCCTGCGTGAGGTAGTGACTTGCAAAAGAACAAGTGAGCCCATGCTAGAGATACCAGTGCACAGAAGATATTATTCAATAAAGCAGATATATAAGGTTTAGCCAGGAAGTGATGCAATCCTATATTCGACCTGTGCCAAGACCATTTCATCCGGTTGCTTGTTTGTTTCCAGACTTTACCTATTTGTTTCCAAGATTTTTCTTAAATCTTTCAAGTTCTATGTGGCCATATACTTGTTATCTTCTCCTGTTTTGTACACACACACCAGGCAAGATTAGATGAGTGCAACCGGCACTGCTCATGGTTCTAGCACTGCAACAGATGGGATCGGGCCCTTTTATAATAATAGGTGTAAACTTTCGGACCTCTTCTCTGAGTATGTTAGAAAATCGCCATCTTTCATTGGGTGTGTTTTTTTTTCTCTTCAAAACGAAACAGGGTAAATCCATTTTTCACCATTGAGCGTTTGGATGGTTTTATTTTATTGGCTAGGTCTGGAGGTTGGGGTGGGGGTTGGGAGTGCAAACTGTTTCCAATTGATATTTAAGTGGCTTTATTATTCTGTTGCTTGTTTGCTGTAAACTGCTTTGATATTATAGAGAAGCAATCTACAAATGTTTTAAATGAAACATGCAAGAGAACCGTGTTTTGTTTATATCAAATTTGCATTAATTGGCTTGAGAGCAAAGAATTCTACACACCAAGATGTGTAGCAGTACAACAGGGGGGCTGGTTCGCCTGTTGTTGCAGTGCCAACAGCAAGATCCAGCTGCGCTGTATAAAAACAGGAAGTGCTTCTGCGTGTCCATTATGTGGAGCAGCCCTTGCACCTCATGAGGTCCCACTCTGCTGGGCCATTGGACCCTTGTGGGAGGAGTCAGATATCAGGAAACCCAGCAAAGAATAGTACTCTACAAGGTGCAAGGGCTGCTGCATACCTAGCCACAAAAAAGAACTAAAGAGTCTACAAATGAGATTCAAAGAGCCTTGTGGACCCTCCCCGACCCCACCATGATGCACTGGGGCTTTTCAATTTCTCCCTGGTGACTATGTGCACACCCAAGTTTCAGTTATTTATTTTTTTGTCTGATGCTTCAGTATATAAATCCTCCCCTGGACCCTTCAGTATGTAATGAATTACCTTAGGACAAAGTGTGTTTATCTTCATACCTTTTCTTTAAAAAACAAAACCTTATGGTATTTGTAAGCATTATATGCTGCTGTTTTAGTGGGAAATGTGTTCTGTTCACATGGTAGAAGTAGGTGGAATGTTTTATTTATTTTTAGTCCAAGAAGTGCTTTAATTTGTAATTCTCATATTGTGTGTGTAAATAAAACTGTTTCACAACTTTAGGAATGCTGCTGCTGCTTCTTCTTCTATAGATTTTTTTTACTCCTGCATCACAGAGCACACCCAAATCGGCAAACATACTCAATACATTTGCAACATTTTGGGCAGTGTTCCTAATCATATAAGAGAGCAAGCCCCATTGAACACAGGGGTAGCAGTGTAAATTGGAGTACAGATACAGATGAGACTGCTGTTAATAGTAAGGAATGCAGGCTGTAGGAAGTAACGCATGTACCATCCTTAGGTAGCTCAAAGACTCTTAATTTTGCAAACTAGTAAAATCCAATGTTGTTCATGTTGAACATAATTTAAAACGGCTATGTAACTAATATTCTGCTTGTTTTTCTAATTGAATTTTTACTTTTCTGTACTTTGATTTGTTGGGCTAGTAGTGTGTTAATAACTTATGCAGTACATTCTTTTCTCTTGCGTTCTTACTTACGTATTGATGAACTTGACCTTCCCAATTTAAAAGTGTAATATAATATTGTGTAATAATACATGGCATGATGTCAATGTGAACAGGCCTTCTTTCTGTTTGTATGAACAAAGTGACACCAGAGTTAATTAAGGGGTGTTTTTTTTGCACATTGAGGATAGAGAAGTTGATCGCATCTGATATTTTGCATAGCTTCCTTACACTCCGAATCATTATTCCAAATGCATTTATAAGGGGTTTTATTACACAGCTTTCCAGACTTTGGTTTGATGTCAGTTCCACAGGAGGGTGGTTGAAACTGCCCAAAGCATGAAGATACCTTTCTGTACATGCACATTCTAGTGCTGTATTCAACACTGCATCTCTGATTTTCAAAGGATAGAGAAACTGCAGTATAATTTGCAGAGACAGACTTCCTTCCCTGATCTTGAATTCAACAGTGGGTCAGTATGCGAAGTTCACAACTTCTTAAAAAACCAACACATTTTGCATAATTAGATGCACGTATACCCAGTATAGCATTTAACTAACAAGGCAGCTTGCAATATCTAATTACCCGAGAGAGGAATCTGTATCTGCAGTTTGCAGAAATTTATATACGGACACTTACCGGACTTGGGATTTCATTTCCATGACTGCTGTGATGGAAGTGTCTATAACCTTAAGGGTTCCAGCTATCGGGTATTCCAGCCTTCATGCACTGGGCAGGCTTCTCTTCCACAGATATGACACATACCATGGATAGCCTTGTTCTCTCCATGCAGTGCTAATTGAATGGAGTAATGATGACTGACTGCAGCAGGTAACTTCATGTCTGACAACCAACCTTCATACTACTCATCTTCAGGACATCTCATATGATCACCTGCTTAACAACCCATATATATCCAGGGCAAAATAAACACCAATGCCAGTGTTATCTGCGTTAGGTGGCAGTCCCTAAAGTTGAGGAAGCAATTCTTTTTTTAAAAAACGAACAACAACAACAAACATAATGTGTCCCATTACTACAAATTACACTTGTGAAGAAACCTGTGCTTGGAAAATATTTTGAAGAAGATCTAGTAATACATTAGACCTATTTATTAGACACTCATACACTGGCTGTGTTTGCATGTCACAGTAAACTATGGTTTAACATGGTATACATGAGCTGGGCAAACTATGCTTAGTTTTAAATAAACTATCTTCAAATTGGTTTCAGAAGCTTCTGAACATCTCCATCCAACCATGCTCATTCCTGTTCATGTACAACACACTAAATATATATTTTAGTGTGAGAATATATATTTTAGTGTAAGAATTTGATTATAGTGTTTTATAACTCTAAATGTAGTCTGCTTTAAATAATTCTGTCATTTATTACTCTATACTTAGTTACATAGAATCAGAGTTAACATTTTAAGAGTTCCTTCTTAATTGTAAAACATGATCCAGTAAGGTAAGTGTAATAAAGATAAATGGAAAATGGGAACTGTTGAGTAAATGGACAAGTTTTATTTTATTCTTTTGAGTCTGACACTGGTGTTGGTTTGATAAGGAGAAGAAAATAGCCCTGAGTTAGCATTTCTACATTAACATTTAGAATACGTTTGCTTTGTCTATTAATGACAAGTTCTATATTCAGATCTTCGTGATAAAATTGTATGATTTACCCATTTTATAAAAATCACTTTATTTTGTACAAAGTGAAAGCATGTCTAATTCTTATTCAGTTTGAAAATATCCAGTAAATTATCTTTCCCCAGATAGAAACTGATAATCTATGTCATAGAAAGTACCAAAAATGACATTATATAAAGGAAACTACTTCTATTCTATTCTGTTCTGTTCTACTTCTAATGTATCTAAATTTATAATAAAGATTATCACTAAAACGCAAATGTACAAATTAAGGAAGCTGAGCAGAGAACAAAGGTGGTTTCCATCTCAAAACCCCAGTATAGAATTAGTAGTCAGGTGGGTGCAAAACTTGTTTATTTTTCTACTTTAGGGAGAGGAGATTTTAAAGTTAAGAATGTGTTCAGAGCAAAGAGTTAACCTCCATGTACTGTCACTCTGATCCCAAAGAACAAAATTAAATTGAGAATTCCAGTTATAAAACTCCCAGTGCAGAATGGCCCAAAATAGCCTTGTGAATTTTTAAATTAATTTTCTGTAGAATATTTATAAACCACTCTAAAGCAATATCCCCAGAGCAGCTTACAATGACAAGTTTAAAAATACAGGAAAAATACAGGAAAACATCCATGCAATAAATTAAGTGCTAGTTATGAAACCTCGTCCAACACTTAAAACAGCATAACAAATGAGGAAGGCCTTTATTTGTCTCACCTTTTATAAGAGAGAATACTAAAATGGAGCCCTTTAGCATAAAAAACTCCTATCCTTTTACCTCTTCCCATAGGATAGTGAGACCTAGAGAAAGGATTTCAAAATAAGTCTTTGGCATTGTCTTCAGAAATACACCAGCTTTTAAGAAGTGGCAAGAAGATATTGTAGCTTTGCATGATAAAAATGGCAAGGCATTTCATCCTGAAAATTGATCGTTTTCTAGTGATTTTCAGCACACTGTAACTAAACTGTGAACTAAGTCTGTGGGGATGTTTTCATAAAACTTTTATCCCAGCAAGTTTCAAGTGGGAAACTACCTGGTAGCAACTTTGGCCTCAAATTGTTCATTCTCCACTCACATCTTGAAACCCCCTTGGCTGTGTTCAGAATGTGTAGAGGGGAGCAGGTATGCCTGAGCCGTTTTGAAGTTTGTGGGCAATACGAGAAGCACCAGTGTGGTACAGCAGCTAGACTAGAGTGTCTGAGTATGGCAACCCAGACTCAAATCCCTACTCAGCCATGAAGCTTAGTGGGCCAGTCACTGTCTCTCAGCCCGACTCACAGACTTGTGCAGATAAAATAGTGAACCCGAAAGAAAGATCCATGCACACAACCTTGAGTGCAGTATATATAAATAAAATATACTGCATTCCTGCTGAATTTGTTTTTACATTTTTATACACTTTAAAGTGCACTGGGTTTACTAAGGGACACATCACTTGTGCAAGCAACACATACACTAGAAGGAGACCCTCCCTGAGGGCTCAGTTCACACATTACCGAAGTTTCACTCAAGCCGATGGTACAGGACTGAATCCCACGCCACTTTTGGTAACCTTTGCAAAGAGGAAAAGTTCACAGGAAGGTTCATGACATGGCTCCTTCCCATTCTAAAGTTAGCACTCCCTCCGGTTCCTTTGCTTCCTCCTCGCCCAGTATTTTCCTTTCCTGCCTTTGTACAATAAATCTCTGTCAGGGTTTGTTTTCTACTCCTGGCAGATTTGTTCCCAATGGTGGGTCACTGTTTCTCCTATATACCTGTCTGGTAAACTTGCATAATGTAAATTGGCGCCGTATTACCTAATCAGTCAATTTGACATGTCATTGCATACTTGCTGAAGCACACAAAAGGTACAGCAGTGCTGCTGCCAGTATCTTGCTCAACACAGCCCTTTAGCATAAACTGCATTATTTCTGTAAGGCTCTATTTCCCTGAATGAATGAATGAATGAATATGTATGTATGTATGTATGTATGTATACTGTGCAGTAAGATAAATCTATGACAAGTATGTATGTGTGTTTCTGTATGTATCTTTGAAAAAAAATGAAGAAGTAATCTTAATGCTCTGGGAACTAAATTATTTCTGAACAGTTTTGAATAAGCATAGTAGAAACCATTATTTTGTGTTTCATAACTCAGAGCGCATCTAAAGAAAAATAAATACAAGAAAGCACTAGGAAATTAATTTTAATTACATGGAAGACAGCGGCCCTGCTCTTGCACAGCAGCAAACTGTGCATGTGCTGACTGTGGATGAGGATCACTCTTCCCCTGCCAAACAAATGATTGGCAGCTATCAGAACTGGTGGCACCAATACACACTTCCATTTGTGCCATACCTAGAAAGCATGGCTCCACGGGGTCTTCTGCTTGAGCCACGATTTCTAGGTATGGGTCTGAGTGTTTTTCACCTTGCCCTGCTCCTTTCCAAGGGGAAATCCGAGGCAGATCAGAACAAATGGCAGATGAGGGGGAAATGAATTTCTATCTTCTCCAGTTGAACGCTAAAGAGTGTTTTCCCTGAAAGCAGCAGTACAAGAGGAAGTGTGGATAAGCCCTGAATAGAGAAGCACATGGGTAGGCAGCTTGCATCATGTACAAACCATTAGATAGTCTATTTGGTAGTATGCATGTGGTGCAGGTTTGTTGCACATGTTCTGTCTATTGGATGAAGAGATACCACCACCACCTGGGAACTTGCAGCAGCCTCCTGCATATGTGTGGTGGGCAGACGTAGACAAAGAAATCTGTTCCTGCACACTAATCATTGAGAAACATTTAACCACAAGCAAGTATTTCTATAGTCGCATTTTAGCATCATGTACACTGAGTGTGGTAAAAGGGCAGTGGGACAGTCAAGAGTTTTGTACCACACAAGGCCTCCATGCGTAGGAAAAGCACCCCAACAAACCCTTTCACACAAGGAATACTCAAAGAGGGCAGGTATTCTGAAACTTCAGCAACAGATGGGTAGATAAGCCTTGGAAAGAACTAAAGTGTGTTTTTCTTAATCCAAATTTTCTTTAAACATATTTAGTGTAGGGGGACGTTATTTGCAATTTGAAAACATCAGTGTCATGTCAGATGGGTGGGCTGTGCTGAACTTGGTGTTCTTTTGCAGTACGAAATGGAAGGATTCTGGGCACGCTTGTTAGAACAATTTACCATATGTACGTGGTGAAAGTTGTAACCAGTTTCTGGATTTGAAAGGTATTGTAAAAGATACGTTTCTATGATTTGCTCTCTGCTGAACGGTGTGAAATTAAACTCAGTTGGAGAATGTGGGTGATCTAAGCTTGAATGAGTTATTTCCTCTTAGTAGGCAATGAA